ACGCACGCGGACTTTTTACACCCCCCCCCCCACCTGTGTACGTACGATTGACCCCCCCCCCGCCCCGAATGCTATAGAATGGCCAATATTTAATCCACGCAGAAACGATCAAGAACTAATAATATTAACGTGTTTAAGCAAACAGATAGTCCACCGCCGGACTATCTAACCCATTTGAAGGCCAATGTAGACAAATTATCATCGAGGCTTCACCCCCCCCCCCCTCCGTTTCCTATGCGTACATTGTCAGTAGACCCCCCATACACAAGAGTACGCATTTGGGTTAACCCCCCTCCATGCGTACGTACTAAATGGATGACTCCTACCATGTGTAGCGAGTAGAAGAGGCGTGTGTGTGTAGTGGAGGCCGGTGTGTGTGTGCTGTGTGGAGGAGGCGGTGTGTGTGTGTGGTGGAGGCGTGTGTGTGGTGTGTGTGGTGTGTATGTGGTGGAGGCTACTGTGTGTGTGGTGTGTAGAGGAGGCGTGTGTGTGGTGTGTGGAGGCGGTGTGTGTGGAGGAGGCGTGTGTGTGTGTGGTGTGTATGTGGTGGAGGCTACTGTGTGTGTGGTGTGTAGAGGAGGCGTGTGTGTGGTGTGTGGAGGCGGTGTGTGTGGAGGAGGCGTGTGTGTGTGTGGTGTGTGTGGTGTGTGTGGAGGAGGCGTGTGTGTGTGTGTGGTGTGTATGTGGTGGAGGCTACTGTGTGTGTGGTGTGTGGTGTATGTGGTGTGTGGTGGAGGCTACTGTGTGTGTGGTGTGTGTGGTGTGTGGTGGAGGCTACTGTGTGTGTGGTGTGTGTGGTGTGTGGAGGAGGCGTGTGTGTGTGTGGTGTGTATGTGGTGGAGGCTACTGTGTGTGTGGTGTGTGGAGGAGGCGTGTGTGTGGTGTGTAGAGGCGGCGTGTGTGGAGGAGGCGTGTGTGTGTGTGTGTGGTGTGTGTATGTGGTGGAGGCTACTGTGTGTGTGGTGTGTGTGGTGTGTGGAGGAGGCGTGTGTGTGTGTGTGGTGTGTATGTGGTGGAGGCTACTGTGTGTGTGGTGTGTGTGGTGTGTGGTGGAGGCTACTGTGTGTGTGGTGTGTGGAGGAGGCGTGTGTGTGGTGTGTAGAGGCGGCGTGTGTGGAGGAGGCGTGTGTGTGTGTGTGGTGTGTGTATGTGGTGGAGGCTACTGTGTGTGTGGTGTGTGTGGAGGAGGCGTGTGTGTGGTGTGTAGAGGCGGCGTGTGTGGAGGAGGCTACTGTGTGTGTGTATGTGGTGGAGGCTACTGTGTGTGTGGGGTGTGGAGGAGGCGTGTGTGTGGTGTGTATGTGGTGTGTGGAGGAGGCGTGTGTGTGGTGTGGACGCTGTGTCGGCCCATGTTGTGTGGCGGATCCCTGGCTGTAAGAGGATAACGCTCAAGTATTGATTGGCTGGAGTCACTGTGTCTGATATAAATTCCCTAAATCCAACTACGGTTACAGGGACTGCCCTTAATATTTTATAACTCTTTGTCTCCAAATTTAGCTGATTTACGTCTCGAGAGGACCCTACCATTTTTCACGGCAATCACAGTTAGACTGCTCATCAGCCTCATACCATGACAGAGGGTAATTGGGGAGGTGGGGGTGGTTAGGTTTCAGCACTTTGTATTTTTTTTTTAAAGAGCAGACTTTAGAGATACTGGTGTTTAATAATTCAGCATATTTAACCATTTATAAAGCAATAGTTCAAATCGTAAATGACAGACTAATAACGCTGCCGACTGATTAGCAAGGCTCCAAGCAAAAAAAAGAAGCCCTCTTTAAAGGAAACCGTATCAGCTATTCATGAATTTCTATTTCGTGATGATCAAAAAAATTCACACAGTTGCAGGCACGTATTATGAATTAAAGTAATATTCAATAACGAGACTTGTTTGCACAATGCACAACAAACACGAAGCTGTTTGGACAGTGCATTATCACGCTAAAAGTAATGCTATTTAGAAGACAAACAATCACTCGCAAACCGCACAATCCTGCGAAAACTGTACGACCCACCCGCTGGGATAGGGGAGGCAAGGATGAGCGTTGTCCTGTGATTATTCAAGAAAGGAGATCACAAAGTGCAGAGCATGGAATAATGGGCTATCTCTCCGCCCCCCCCCCCCCCCCGGGGAAACATTCGGCATTATTGTGTCAGAGACCCGAGCAACACAAGCATTAAATAAACAACAGATGGCCAGGCGGCCACGTAACAGACATGCTGGTTGTTGAGTGAGCCGAACAATCCTTCACGAATGGACGAGATCACACTCTTGTCTGTGGATGCCGAAATCGGGCTTTTCTTGGCTTTACCCTCCCGCATCCATCCAACGGAATTGCATTTGTTCCGGGCCCCCAACCCCGGTGGACCAATGAGGCAGCCCTGCAAGCGCGTTCACGTCGTCACCCCCCCCCCCCCCCCCCGCTGCATCTTGCGCGGTCGCCCGCCTGCTCGTGCGAGAGGGGTGTAAGCGGCTAGAGCACGCGTGCAGCGAGCCGCGGGTGACGATCGCTCGCTTGCTCGCTCGCTCGCTCCCCTGCAGACTGCTCGTGTTCGACCGGGGGCCGCGATTAGTCTCTTCTTTTTCCCTTCGTATCCGTCGCTGCATCGTAGGACGCGACGACAAAGAATCTGCACCGGAGGGTCAGGACGCAGCTGGAAACCGCGGCATGCCGGTGGCACGTGGAGGATGCTTGGGGGTGTGGGGGGTTGGGGAAGAGACAGCGGGCTCGCAGTGTTCAGTCACTGGCATGTGGACAGGAAGACACCGAGATGAAGGGCTATGACTCGGGGCGGAGGCATAAGAAGAAGGATGATGGAAAAGCGGGGGCCATTTATGCCTCTTCATCTTCCAGTACACAACGGCCTTTGCTCGTGGCACAGGAGGCCGACCTCGCTGGCACAGCGCACATTTTTCTAAGCAGCGCCTCGGTGCTCGGCATTCGAGCGGCGCGTCGATCGCTGTCAAGGCGCGGATCTATAAGGCGGCCCGGCGGTGTCGTCACCGAGCACCGGTTGAGCCGTGGGTCACGGCGAACGGCCACGAGCAGCCCATCGCCAGCGCCACTGCTGCGCGCTCGGGGTCAGAAAGCTGGACGGCAAAATCGACGGAGGGAAGGAAGAGCCGCCAAGATGAGACGGCGCGCGGCGAGTCGGCTACGTGAGGCCGGCCACTGTGGCCCCTGGTGTGGCGTCTACAGTCGGCCCGTGCGGTGGCAAGGCAGGTGTAGCATGTGCCTTGTGGTGTCCCCAAGTTGATGCACCCACAACCAAGCCACCCAAGGGGAATATTATCCACATGAACAACCTCGCTTGGAATGGGCGGTGAAGCATCTGAGTACCGCAAGTTAAATTGCAAAAGCATGGGACGTTTCAAAAGCAGGACTACAAATGACTCATTAAACTAAACAATAGTTGCTCCCCGGGTTATCTGTCCCCCACCCCACCTCGTCAACCAGGAGGCGACGGGGTGCACGAGGCCTAGCGGATATTTGCGCATGGTTGTTTTTTTGCCACCCAACGTTTTGCCTTTGTTCTTGTGTACAACAAAAATCTAATACATACAAAAAACGCTAGTTGCAAATGAAGGACGCCATACATTCAAATGCAAGACAATCCTGAATAAGAATCTTGCTTAGTGAGCCTTTATCCAAATAAATAAAGAACTATTATTATTATGATAAAATTGGACGTAATGTTTTTTTGTGGCAGTAATACCTCTATTTGTGTAGCATCAGAGATAAAGGCCGACTGGATTACAATGCAGTGACATAGTACACGAGTGCGTATTCATGTACATATGTGTGTATGTGTGGAGTGGTGGAATTGTGGTTAGTGCACCAGTGACCTGAGTTCGAATCCCGGCCACAGCCAACATGAGTGGCAACTGCTAACTCAACTCAGCCTAAAATGAGTACGAGGTTAAGGTGAAATTTATCATGGGACATTTTTTCAGAGTATCAATGTATGAAAAATAATAATAGGTTTTACCCTTTTTGGCAATAAAACAGGTGTTAAGATTTTGATTTAAAGCTTTCGTGACTGCAGGGATTCATATTCTTGGTTCTTTCGGTAAAGTCACGTAGAAGGGAAACAATAAAATAATAAAAATATAAAACAATAAAATAATAATAAAAAAAACGAAAGAACCAAGAATAGGTGTTAAGATGTTCAAACACCAAATAGAAACCTTTTAGCATTCTCTGGTCTGACATTGGTGAGACTAGGCCATGAAAGAAGCCTGCCTCTGGTGTAGGCCAATCAATTTTAAAAACAATGCATAAATGTTAACACACTTTGTGTGTTTGCATGTTCACCACAAGTACGTGTGGCTAATGCAGACATTATTCATTTCAAAAGGTATATATTTGGTATTTGAACATCTAAACACCTGTTTTATTTTGCCAGAAAGGTTAAGTCCTATTCTTATTTTTCACGAGGTGAAATGTGTCACCATTAGCAATGGGGAGACAATGGTGGTCAGGCGTGGTTCTGGTCACATTGCACTGTCATGTGCTGTTTCAGTCTTAATAGGTGCTCACTAACAGCAATTTTCTCAACAGTCTATGTGAGTTACAATGGGGATCTTTTACACCATCATCACTGGTACATCCGAGTCCTGATGGTGCGGGTGGTTTTCCACTGGCTATCTGTTGAGCCAAGCCAGAACCAAAACCGTGAAACTCTCTACAACTTAATTTGGTTCTGGGCCAAGCGGGGCCAGTGATGGGGTTAATAAATTCACGTGTGACGTCAGCAGCACTGCTCAGGTTCTACATTGGACAAACAGCTTGGCCACAGGTGTGCTGCGCCAGTCTGGCTCAACACACCTCGCACCTCCGATTAGCACGGTTGGCTAAGTACGGTGCGGAAGAAGTTCAACGTGCATACGTACATACAACACGGCCCTGGGGCGGCTTGGCTGTAAAGTGAAGAGGTGATTGTCTTTGCACACCTGTGCGCGTGTGTCTGAGCGTGTGTCTGCGCGTGTCCGCATTGCCTACCTATGAAGTACACCAGCAGGATCGTGAGCAGTGCGGCAGCGGCAATGGCGGACAGGGCAGCGCAGCGCCAGCTGCACACGCGGTACGGCTGCTTGAAGGTGAAGGTCCCCCGCGGGAAGGTGCCACGCGGGAGGGGCCGCGTCGGAGGGGAGTACGCGGCGCTGGACGTCAGCGGGTAGCCGGGTGCCGGGCTGCTGAAGAGCGGCGTCGTGCCCGAGCCCGGTTTGAACAGGAAGTGACTGCCACGTGAAAAACGAGCCGCGGGCAAACACCGTCAATCGGCGTCCCGTCTGTCGAACGCGCGTGGTCATGAAGCAGCCACATCGACATATTCATCAAACTCAAACACATCGATTCACCTTGATTGATGATGATGATAATGATGATTGTTCTAATGATGATGCCCTTTAAATGGATTGTTACATCGCAAAACCGTGACAGATGGAGATGACTTCAGGAGGCCTTCAATCAACAGTGGATTGATCATTGATGATGATGACGACTACGATGACGCCCTTTAAAAGGTGTAGCGTGATTGGTATGGGCCTGTGGCGCAAGAAATGAAAGCGGTTCCTCTGTGCAAATTCCATCCTTCGAAGTATCCCAGTGCCCGAACTCCTCTGGCCTGTAGGCCTCGGTGCAGTTGCACCGCCTGCACAATTCATGGCCATGCCGTTGTGTCCTTTTTTTTTCCATGGGCAAAGCCATCGTGAGTTGCAGAACTTTTTCAGGAGGGGGCTTACAATGGGATGTTTGTCCAAATTCCATTAATGAGCGTTTGGCATTAATTTGCAAACGTCCAAAGCTCTCAAATTTAAATCAGCACAATATCTCTTCCTGGGATAATTACAGTGCAGATTTGTGTCTCAGGGCTATCACACAGTGGCAACTCTTTTGCATAATTCGTTGTATAAAGCAGATGTAAATTCATAAAGAATTCGAAGTTTTTGGCTTTCGTTGATCGTTCAATTCTAGTGTAAAAAAATTTAGCTTCAAGTTATATATATATTTTAAGGAAAACTCCCATCACACTGCACATCTTCTAGATATTTTAATCCAGGAAATTACTTTCCTTATGATGATGTACAGTTCATTCACGCTACCTGCTGGAACAATTTATTAAACTGTCAAGCAAGCGCTCGCAAAAACAACAAGCATACCCACGCACAAGCCGACATGTCACTCCTGTAAAGGCAATGTCAACTTTTAGCCTTCATTCTCTCACCTGCATCATATAGTGTGGTTATTATTGCATTTTATTTTAAAGTGGCTGTACACATACATGTACACTGCCATCCATACTAAAGCACAACATAGGCAATTTATTACATTTGGTGACGTTTCCATTGCCTCTACTTGCCCAAAAAAGTCACTTTAATTTTCCAGAATTGACATTTTTGTTGTTGTTGTTATATGTACATTTTTACAGTGCAATTCAACATCTTTATCATGCCTCATTCAATGTTGTATTTAAATTGGCATTAGATTTAATCTAAATTTGTTAAAATAAGCTTTATATAATTTTGAAATAGTCTGTGTACTTGAGATACCTTCAGGCAACCCCCAGGTCATCCTTGTAAAAGAGGCAATTATGTGTGCGTCACACATCTCAATGTGGTTATTTAATCTCTTGGTTAAATAAAGGAGACAGATTTGACTTGGCTGACCATTGATAATGAATTAGAAAACAAACGCTTCAGAATATATCTGGGAGAAAAAAAGATTCCGCTATTTGGATTCCTGGCTGGCTGGCGTGAGTTCGAGCATCACTCTGATATTTGGCCTCCACCCACCACCCACCATCCACCACAGGCGTGGATCCTGCACAAATGCGACAGAGTAGAGTAGATAGAGGAGGGAGGAAGAGATGGAGAGGAATGTAGAGGGGTGGGGACAGAGTGAAAGGGCGTGAGATGGAGAGGAAAGAGAGCGAGCAAAACGGAAAGGGGAGAGTGACGGGAAAGTGACACGCCATGGGAGGGAGACAAGAGAGGAAAGGGAGAGGCGGAAATTGGGAGAGCGAGGGTGAGAGGTGAGAAAGAAATGGAGAGTGAGATCGGCGGGAGGGAAGTGGGTGAGTTACAGTGGAGGTAATAGAGGAATATAGAGGGTTGGAGAGGAAGAAGATGGGACACACTGAATAGAAACACAGCTAGAAACAGAGACAAGGTGATAACATCCAAATACGTTTGGATACACAGTACAGGGAAAGCAAGAGAAAAGTGGAGAGAGACCGGGCTCTATATAAAATAAAAGTTTTGCTGGCTGGCTGGCTGGCTGTGACGGTCAAGTCCAAAAGACATGCCGATTGCTAGTCAAGGTATACAAATAAGGCCATAATATTAAAAGCTCATTACTACGTAAGATTTAACGTATAATATAAAGGAGTTTAATTATGAGAGATAAAAAAACACGTTTGTGGATTCAGTGGTGAAATCGGCTTTCTATTTTTAATAGCATGACCCTGCCAATAACGCTCGCTCTCCGCGCTCACGTTTTTCTTGATGAGATGTGTTCACCGCCGATTCTGCTGCTGCTGCTGCTGTCACAGTTCACGTACGTGACACGGCGAGCCGCGCTCGCTTTTTCGGCAATTTAATGAAAAATGCCTAACAGTGGCAAGGTCAAGACAGCGCCTACTGTATTAGTGAATTAATGCAATAATTTCAGCAGGCACGCTGCGTCACCAGACTCCTTTTACGCTGCTCTCAGGTCAAATTGGCTCAGGACCACACACTGAAATATAAGCCCTTCCTGCGGTGGCAGGGCATGCTGACAGGTATTACAGTCGCCTCCTAAAGAGAGCATGCCTCTGCACAGGACTGCAGGACATGCTCGGATACAGCGTGTTTGCCTCCGAGTCCAAGGTTTATCGGGTCAAACACAAATCCCTTTCCTTGAGTCACAGAGCAGGCCACGACATCACGGTGTCCAGGAATCCTTGAACAGAATCGCTGAGCTGGACCCGGCTCCTCTACCCCGCAGGTGTTAAGGATCCGGGCAGTTTTGCGCGAGCACGTGTGGCCCCGATCTGCTTAATTGAGGTGATCTTTTGCGCAGATGCACGCTGGTTCGAGTGTGTGCAGTCGCTGTCGCTGATGTCACTTTGTGCGATTTATTCGTGTGGCGCGTGATAATGATCGGGCAGTGTGTTGCGCAAGTGCGTGTGCCTCGGTGTGCTTAATTGAGGTGATCTTTGCTTGGAAGCGATGGTTCAAGTGCAGTTGTCGTCGTTGTCATTTTGCGTGATTTATTTTCAAGCTGTAGAGAGAAATATATCAAATGCCAAGCAAATAAAGGAATGATAAATTAGGACATTATCCATGGCTGGGTCAATGTGTGCTCATGTCCAAAATCACCTCCTGTTTAGTTATTCTGTACTGTGATTCTGGCAGCCTAAATCAATTGGCCTGCCAGGTGGCTCAACAATAGAGCAAATGGCTGTGAGTTAAACATTCTGTTTGGGGGTTGACTCAACCCATCATCCCTCCAGGGTTGGTAAAATATCAACCGCTTTGTGAGGAAGCCAATCATCCAATGGATCGGCTTGCCCTCGCCATACGAATGCTGAAATTTCATCACTGGCTCACGGCTGTAAACAGAAGACGAGGAGAAACCTGTATGGTAATTTCAGCAGGAAATCACTTCGAGTTTTGACTTTCAAGAACCCTTGTTTTTAAATGACGTTGATAACTATAAGAACATTCCTCAATCCAAGCAAATTCCTTCAGTCCAGAGAAGGAAATGCCAAAACGTTAATTTGTGTTGCAGTCAGCCACTTGGAAATGAAATGGTAAAAATTTAATCATGTGAAAATGTATCCGTAATAATGATCGTGAGTTGACAGGAAAATAAATCCATAACTGAAAGCTGCACATGCACCTGCAGTACATTATCGCACGTAGATAGTTTTTGACTTGACTGTTGTGTAATTTTCAATCTCAAATTATAAAAGTATGTTTTCATTTAGTATAATAAGACTAATGAATAATAAAAAAAAACAACTTCCTGCATCTAGAATAAACTATTTCACATGAAAAACAATTGTATTTGACCATTGCACAATTTTTTAAACTCCAATTAAAAACAAGTACGACTTTATTTATAATTACTGGAAAGTATTTCTTTGTTATACCTTGATATTTTAACTGCACATAAAGCATGATTCAACGTTTGTTTTTTTCTCTCTGAATAAAAGTATGCAAGCTTGTCCCATGGAATTATTTAATTATATACTAGCTGTACTACCTGGCTTTGCCCGGGACTTGGATTCACCACACCCGGCCGCCTTTGTCTCCCCAGTGGTGATGTTCACACCACAACAGTTACTCGTTTGAGGCTGAGTCGACCTAGGGGAGGCCCAGAACCGGTTAAAATAATCGTCACCGGTGGTGGCCATGAGCGGGAATCGAACTTGGGTCGCCGGGTTCGTAGCGCGGCGTGCTAACCACTACACTACAATGCGTTACGCTTCCACATGCGAGGGTCATGTACACAGATTTGACGTCACAGCTCACTTGTCGTGTAAAAACTATATGCATTATTGAGCTTCCACCCCCTAAAAAAAACTAAAGTGTATTTTTTTAATTTTTGCATGGTGTACAGTCTGGAGAGTACCCACATGGCAAATTTCCAGTTTGTTGCATGTCGGAAAGTAGGCTAAACATTTTGAACAGACACACATTCACAACTTTGCCTCGTATATATGGAGATATCCTTTCATCCCAAACATTCATCACAATAATTCCAAACGCGAGCGTTTTATTTATCTATGTCTGCGAGTGCGCGTACCTCCGCAACAGTTGCCATTTGTTGACGCATTCATTAATTTGTTATTTATTTATTTTAAATATAGAACACTTTCCATTTTAATATGTGCTAAGCTTGTGATAGCGTAGCCTTCCTGGAGGTCAGCCAATGGATGTACATTCTATAAAATATGTATACTCTGTAAAATAAATGAGCAGCCCTGGCCAAAAGACTGCATGCAAGTCATGCATGTCACATTTCATGACTTGGCATCGACTTGTACAGCGAAAATACGCAATGTCCTATTTGGTAAATTAGAAACACAATATTTATTATTATTCCGCCTGTTTACCCAGGAAAGCCTCGACATATCTCAAGACTCTTTTTTCAGGAGCTGGGTCCTGATAAGTTTTGACAGTGCAGGGCGATGCTGTTAAAGTGTCATCCCAAATTGAATAATTTGCAGGAATATTTTCCACCATTGGGACGTTGTGGCCACAACCGCTTTATTTTTCTCGTTTCCATTTTTTTATACGGCGGCTTTATTTAGGCAATTGCATCGCACAACACTGCGCAATCTGCAAACACGGAGGGGCGCGTATCGACCGAGATGTTTTCAGCCAATTGATGGGTGTTCATACATGTGGGAGGGAGACCGGAGGACCTAGAGTTTACCCCCCCCCCCCCCAACACACGTGAGGAGACAACTCACTGTCGTCGACATGCGTCATCCGTGTATAACGGATTATGTTCGTTTACATTTGCTGTGCCGTCTTCTCCTGCCGAGCCACCACCTCAACGCCGGCAGAAAGGGCGTTTCGAATTGTACGTTTGTTTAGCCATGGGTGGAAACTGGAAATCCAAGCGGAACACGGGGAGAACTTACATGCTACATACAAAAAGGTGCCTGAGTCAGGCATTGAACCCAGGGCCTTCTTGCTGTGAGGCAAGGCAGGAGTATTACAACTGCACTATCCTGCCTCTCAAATGCTGTTGGACTTTTAAATGTCACTCAGATAAGCGCAGCGATTAATGAACACAAACTATTATTATTGTCGCCAATATGTAGAGCTGAATATAGAAAAAATAAACAAGTAATTAGCATCGCCTACCACACTGCCGAGCCCAAAACAGCTGAACCATCTGTGCCATAGAATATCACTGGAATGTCATTATTTAACAGAACAGAAAATGTCCTCCAATAACAGAGCGAGGCTCCTTGTCTGCGTGAGCTTCTCCACTGTTCAAGGAAATAGCCTACATTTGTCGTGTGCAGCGCCACGTGAACGAGCGAGAACTACAACAGTGGTGAACACTTAGGGAAGCCTACACGCATTTTGCGGTCGTGTGCCGAGTTCATTTTGTTTGTGAAATTAGTGACTAAAACATCCATCAACTCACCGAGTGTGTTTTTTTTTTCGCCAACAACGAGTGTACAAAATTCGGAGCACGTCTACACCTATGGCTACCGCCAAAGACCAGAGCACGATCGACTATGCGGAGACAAAGTTAACGGGTCTGAATGAAGACGCTGACTAAGGTGACATCATAGCATTATCCTCGAGACAGCAGCGCACACTGAGACACAGCAAACAATGGTGATTGGCTACATCTGTATGTTAAAGGGACTCTTATGGGTTTCCCCCATTTGCTGAGAAATCCAAAAACTTAGAATGATGGCACTAAATCGAGAGACGAAGGCTTGACAAAGGTTCCCACAGGTTGTCGTCGATTCGGACGAAGACTACAACCTAAACAACGATAAAAACCAAACGCCGACAAAAATGAAGCGTGGGTTGCGCGAGCGTTGAAACACACCGGCTTTTCACCTGGAGATCGTTGGTAATATAAAAAAAAAGGTCTTTTGTGAACTGCAGGGCAACGATCACATCCTCCTTCAACAAAGGGGGCGCCAAGAGGCTCAGACCCTTGCGACCGTTACGCCTTTATCCACTCCCAATTCCCGCCGCGCAGGGCATTTATCAAGGAGAGTGTAAATAATCAGGCAGGGAGAGCGGCGAGGGACAGGCTGAGAATAAAATGAAAGAATGGCTTGCGAGACAACAACGAGCAGCAAAACAACAGGCAGGGCGGCCGGGGGAGCGCGGCGCGATAATGAGTCGATCCGAGGAGCCGCGGGATCGCCCGTGAAACATTACAAATCTCTGGCAATTTATCACTTAAACGGAGTGTTCGAGTTCGAGACTGGGCTGGTGTAATTTTCCGCAGGCTGTTAGCTACTGCGAGGGCACGTTGCGTCAGCATGAGATGGTCGCAACGCAACGCTAAGCGTTGCTTCGAGAGCGCGGCGCAAGACGGGGGTTGTGTGGGTAAAACGCTGTGGGTGATTCGAACTCTTTTGTTTACACACAATACGGTTTCTAACATTCAACCAAAGATTGCAATTCGCAAGGGCTGCTGTAAAACGTAGAGGGGGGGGGGGGGGGGGGGGTAAGAGAAAGAAAAAAACATCTAGATAATTTAAAGTTCACATTATCTGGATAGAAATGTTTTGTAATTGACTTTTTTATGCTGAAAGGGAAAGAACATTTTATTGGCCACCGTAAATTAGCCAAGCTTGGCGAAAGTTAGTTCCTGCGCTGTAGTTGAAATGTGACGAAGCGGAGCATTCCACTGCATCCCAGAGAACAATCATTCCCTTGAGAGTATAATTAACACTCACATATGACTCGATAAACCCCTAACATTTTGCACCAATGAATTTGCGAAACAAGTGTGTTTGGGAACTGTAATTATGGTCTTTATAGAGCAATCCAAACATGACTCATTATGTACCCTTTTGGATCAACTATTTAATTGCAGCCTCGAACTTGGCAAGCAGTGGCAACAGTCAATTAAAAATAATCAATTCTGTTTTTTTACGTGAATTCTTTACTCTCAAGCAAAGATCAAATACAAAGTATCAAACACGGGAAGAATCATCAGCCATCAGTGTACGTAGAAAACGTGATGAAGCGATGATTCCAGCTTGTGTCCAGATGCTAGGTGGCTTGTTGCGTCGCATAATTGAGAGATAGCGAATGCATTGAGCACTCCGGACGGTGTCATTTACGAGGAACACTGCATAGGTGTCATCTATCGGTAAAGGTGCAGTTCCTGCAAATTGCTTGCTCACATCGCTGATTGCAGAAAGGCCTCCCACTGGCACGGCCACGTAGTATTATTATTATTATTGTGACCTATAATGTGCTATGTGTTTATAGCAGGGGGGCGGGGGGCAGACATCACCTCCATGCCCGCGGAGGGCCCCTCTCAGGCGGAACTCCGACTCCCTGGCTGCCTACGCACCCTTCTCCGTAAGACGTGTCCCTGCAGGCGGGCGCAAACACGGCCATCTCCATCAGGCTATCTTGTCCATTCTCCAGGCTCGGACCTTTTCCCAGGTTCCTGCTCACGGCAAGGGTTCAGCACGCGCGCACCCGCACGCACACACTCTGGTCACTTGCCTCTCATCGTCACTCTCCCAGCTCTACTACCATGGTTTTGGTGTGCAAGTACATTTTTCGCAGCCACACATAATCCAAGTGTGGATCTTCTTGGTTTGGCAACGTGCACTACTTTGGGCATCTTAAAGGAGTTGAAGGTGCCCGCAGGAGTGCATGGTGGCAAAAGGCGTGAGAGAAGAAATTCTCAACACGCAGCCTGACACCCCAGGCCACACTTGGATTACCATGGTTACTATTCCCATGAACTTTACTTATTGATTCCGCCATCCGTGTTGAATACCATGTCTACGAGACTTCTCCACCCTGTGTTCAATCACAAGACCGGAGGCCTAAACGCTTCTACTATTTCTGCTTTAATCATCACACTGCTCGACTTAGGAATTCCCTCCTTTTTGCCTATTTTCCCAAGTTATTTCAACATTGCTCCATATGTATTACACCTTCTATGCCGACGTTTGTTTCTGGACGGTTATTGTTCTGCGCCCGTGCTCAGAAACTGCGATAACAATGCAAATCCACGCACGCACGCACGCACACATGCTTGCACAAGCAAGAACGCACGCATGCACTTTCTCGAGCACAAACCCGCGCAAGCACCTACAAGAAAAATGGAATAGCAATGCTGCCTTGATTTAGGAAAGAGTGGGGCGAATGACCGCTGCTGTAAAGCGCTAAGTTCAGTGCCGACACGACAAAACTGTATCGGTGGGAACAGGTGGTAATGGGCGGTCCCCCCAATCTTCCATTCGCGTAAGAATGTCATGAGCGCACAATTAAATAGGTCATTCATGGTTGCACCGTGCTGCTCTACGATGTGTTTCTGGGTCGGACCGCGTGTTGCTCTGCTGGTGTTGCCGGACCCTGAGCCAAACGGCATCAAGAACCGGCCACACGAGCAGCAGAAGCAGCAGCAGGCAATCGTGATGTACCCACACTGAGGGAGAAAAATGAGCCGCTCAATTTGGTTTGTGGAAAAGCTTCCAGCATGTGGAGCGAAACGACGGACGCCACAAAGAAGAAAGCGCGGTAACAACCGGAACACACATCGGGGAGAGCTATACAATGAGAGTGTTCCCAGAATTCTGTGAGAACATCTGCAAACATTGTGCACTCATGCTGGGCAATTTTTTGTTTGTGCTGTATATGATTCAACTTAAGAGCCAACAACTTTTCGTGATTGGGAGCATGAAGAAGAACAATGGTGCCCCCATGTGAGCTTTGTTAATTTTGAGAGAAATCCCTTTGTCCCGTTTAAGAGACAATCACAATTTCCCTAAACAACTGTGGAATACAAAAAGTTATCACCGTTTACCACAAATAGCCACCTTGGACGTTGTCTTTCTTCGTCTCAATGAATCAATTTTTTTTAATTTAGATTTCTCTTAGAGTGGTAAAACTCCGAAGCATTACATTTGGGCGACTATTCAATCAACAATTGTAAAGTAATCTAGAAGTATGGGCCACACAGGGCTTGCTACCAACAGGGGGTATATAGCTTTGTGTGAACGCAGAAATCCAGTTAGAATATTTAATGCGTGAAAGACAAAGGGCTTGCTGCCGACAACAATAATAATAATGCCTCTCTCAATCTTGACCAATGGCCATTCTGGGTTGTGGATCACAGAATGCCTTGGTGCTTGGGACAACACCAGATAATAAGCTATAAAACGTGAAAATGGGAGACCCTTGGGTTAAACTGCCCGAGGATTTTTTTTAAGTATTGAAAAAAAAAATAACAGCAGCAGGCAATTACACATTTGACAAGAAAAATTGCAAAGGCCTCTTGCAAGTGACCGTGTGTGTGTTTGTGTGTGTGTGTTTGGACAAGGCATGCGTATGCCAACATAAATACAGCCATTTAAGCAGGCATTTCCTATAATTTAGCATGAAAAATGTAACGCCTTTAAATTGCACCGGAAGAGACTGTTTGGTGCGTTGAGAAAACATGTATTTACTTTGGGCGTTGGAAAAAAAGAGTGATTTAATGTTGAACTGAATAATGTTACCTAGACAATAAAATATAAACAAGGGAATACTAAAAGTAATAATAATGTTTGCTTGATTTTTGTACATAGTATGACATCACATACAAAAAACCCATCAATTATTAATACAGAAAAGCCACAGAAAATCAAGACTTTTTTTACAGGAGGATTGCATTACCTTGGGATGTTTGGCAAATTCCGATTGGATAATCAATAAGCTGTGAAGGAATCCTACTCATTTTAATGGAGATGCAGCTGTCGCCATTGAATTATGTGTCTGTTAAAGAATCCCAATTCAATTATAATGCGATTCCTCGATCTTTATTCAAACAAATGTTCTCCGTGTGGCAATTCCAACGATCACCACATTCAAGAAAATGCTAATATAAAAACACAAGCAATTCCACAACAGCAACAATTCCAATTCGGAATCGTATACACGCACAACCATTGTACCGTGATTCCGGTTTGATGAATCGTGTTAATCTCCCCAGAACGAATGGGCTGTACTCTGATTTTGTGATTGCTGCTTGATGGCGGTACAGTAGCCGCTTCTATGAAATCAATGGGATCCGAGTGGCGAGTCAACGCTCGCCACCATATAACACAATTGAGCAATTCCCCGCATTAGACACCGAGGATTCCAGAACACTTAAACAATCGCACGATCCCATTTAGAACCTTACAACAATTCCAAGCATTGCACGCGCCGCGATTCCCTTTGGACACACGTGGTGTTAATCGCCCGGCAGTAACAGGCCACACTCCGATTTTTTTGAGCGACGCCGGCTCGACATCGACAGTGGCGGTGAGGCGTGGCGGTGCGGCGTGGGTACCTGCTTTCGAGCGGCACGCTGCCCACCCGCTCCCAGCCTCCCTCCTGGATCTGCAGGGTCGGCTGCCCCCCACCCTGATGCTGGGCACCCACGGGGCTGGGGTTGCGCCGCTCGCGGACGAACCCGCCCGGGTGCCCCAGCGTCTGGCTGTGGCCGTGCCCGGACGAGTTGCGGTGCGCCGTGGAGTTGCGGTGCGACAGGGAAGTGAGCGACGGGTGGTGCTGCGTCAGGCCATGCGGGTGGGGCGCGTCGCCCAGGCCCTGGTGGTGGTGGTGGAGGTGGTGCGACACCGGCGGCAGCTGCGGCTGCCTCAGCGTGGCCTGGTTGTGATGGGTGGATGGTGTCAAGGGATCTGCACGGCAGGAAGAAGAGAGCGGTTGGTTTGGGAGTGTCCACGTTAGCGAAATGGACTTTGGCATGCAGGTTTTCGCAGACACTTGTAATCCAAATACGATCTTGCGGGGGGGTTAGGCCCCGTGTTAAGAGCTTCTTCTCGACAGCTTTTACCGGCACTATTGTGCGCATCTACAGGAGGTGAAGTGTTAGGGTTAGTGATCAGTTTAACAAACAGTAAGGTTATGAATATTCAACTCCGCAAGGTGTCAGCAGTCGTGCGTGGCGGCAGCCTGAGAGAAGAACGTTGAACACAGAAGGGCACACTTAGAATTCAGTGGATTCTGGTTATCTGGATTAAACTGATAACGCAAAAAAAACATGTAAATTATGCCACAAAAATAGTAATTGTTTACCTACGTATAATCGTGGTGAAGACATAGAACGTGTTGTCTGTTTTTATTGTCTCTTGAGATAAAAAGCGTACTCGCTAACAAGTTTGTGGTCACACGGGCACTGAGTCACTCATCCTGGATGAGTGAGGAGCTGGTAAGAATACATTCAGAAATTTTACAAAAATATTTATTTCACGTATTTATTCACAGGAACAGTTCATCTGCAACCCAGATAATCCGCTCACGGAATATTGAGAGTCGAACGTAAACATAAAAAGGTCCTATTACTGAAGATAAGAGGTATGTATACATGGCTTTAAGCAATTGGTATGGAACAGGTCTGACACAGGTTAACCCCTGGGAAGGGGAAATGGTTGGGTAATTTATCATTAGTCCAATGAAAACGCGTCGACATTGGACGATAACACAGCCAACCAGCACTGGCGCAAACGAGGCTAATTTTGGAGGCCGAATGTGACAAGCTCACCGTGGAAACCCCCAAACGTTGAACGAAGAAACATTAAATGTGTCCCGTTAACCGAGACCACAGTGGCAGAGAAATGTAATTACAGTAAAATCCACTTGTACTCCCGCTGTTAGGATACGCAAGCCAATGAGCACAGCGGCTCTCATTAGGAGGACAGTCACGTGGTCCACACGCTCACACATCGCTCTCGCTCGACCACAATTACAGACCCGACACGGTACTCGGACGGTTGTATAGTTATAATGGTTCAAATGCAAATTAACTTGCGTTGACCAACGTGACTCTTAAATCACAACAGAAAGATACAATTTTTTTTTTACAAATTAAAAGAACGTAATGTCACAAACAAAAAATGTAAATGTATAATTTCATGTGAGCAATTCAGCATCTTCCCAGTGTGGCATGTGGGCAATGGTATTTCCTCTTCGTCTGTGAGTCGCTCTCATTCCTGGGCCATGTGCTTTTCCTTTGCTGCAGAGATCTGCCAAAATTGCTCCGCTAATTTTAAGATCCTGCCTCGATCGTGAATTATTTTACAATCCTTCTCCCCGAGGGCCTACCATTTGTGAATTGCCAATCATGAACCTCTGTTTTTGCTGCCTCCATGCTCCCCCCCCCGCCTCGCGCCCTCGCCCACTTGCTATGACGTCTTCAATCATGTTTGTGTGCCTTCTCCGCTTTCTTTCCTCAATTTTTTCTCCATACCCCCCCCCCCCCGTGTCTCGTTTTACACAGCTTCTGATGAATTAAGCATCGTATGCACGCAAGTACGGGCCGCAGAGGATCGCATTGATTGCTACGGCAGCAAAGAACAACCATTCCCGGCTGCAACGAAGGATTTTATTCAAGAGCCACGATGCTCCCCTGCGTGCCCCTCTCTTGTCACAGTGTGTACTCTCTCCCCATTTGCTCAGCACGCACTCACGGTTAAGGGCGCACTATCAGTTTAGCGACTTTACAATCTGGCAATTTATTCCTTTGGTGGAATGGCCCTTTTTTTTTTGCTGATCACGAGCGACTGGGCCAAGATTTGCTGCGCTGTCTGTGCTTGCCATGCGCGTTGGGAAGAACAGCAAACACAGCTCACCCCACCATTCATGGGTGCCGGTCACTGGCAACCGTGATGCCAATAAACATACATTACACACGTACGGCTATTTTTGCCAATCCACTGCTGGATGAGGGGCTGTACATGCCATGCAGGCCACGGGAGGTTATTTGAGCACATCCACCACGCTGTTCAATGCAGGTTGGCGAAGGCGGGGAGCATTGACGTAGATTACAGCCGGGAGGCGGTGGCTGTGGAGGCGAGGTTTGGTGGATCCTACGGATGTTGGGAAATTTCCTGCCCGTGGTTACTGAGGTGTGATATCCTGGCTTGCCAAGAGAAGGCAGTACAGCAAAAATTGTGGACTCTGCCCAATGTCCATCTTTATGGGGGTAACGTGTTTCCCCCTTGCAGGCGTGGCTTTTCTTTGGGCGCTCAAGTCTTCTCCGATATATAAACACTCCTTAATTGGCCGATAACACCTTAATATACAGAAGACCACAGAGCTTTGGCAATTGTTGGTGCCGGCTCATCGCGTTGCTGCCTTCCTGCTTGTCTGTGCTTTCCAGCACCTCCAAGCCATTCTCTCTGTTTGAGAATAATAAAATACTGTGTGTGTTACAAGTTGACATTGTACATAGCATAAGTACGGAATAACTACGGGACAATAATAAATCATGATGCCCTGTGCCCACGACATAGCCCTGCACCAGTCTATAAAACAGCTGTTTCATACACGGGGGTCACCCATCCAAGCATTATTCAGGCTCAACTCTGCTTAGCTTTTGAGATCTGAAGATCGGACAGATTCCTGGACAAACTGGTCATAGGTGGGTCTTACCTGGTGAAATATATTTCCTTACTCAAACAAGGGACCTGACAGATACCCGGTATTAATTCAACATACCACATGTCATCCGCTGAAGTAGACATTCCAGCAGCTATCAACACCCATTTTGTGGCTTTAAAAGAGAGGTCACGCACGCAATCGTGCCTCTTAAGTTTGTGTGGTCTTTGAAATTGCATTGTTGCGTTTCTAGCACATCCCACGAAAGCCCCCAAAAATAAAATGAAACGGCATAATTTCAAACTGCGCCCTCAAGAGATTCAGAAAGCAGGTCGCAGGTTATAATTTTACGAGCCATTTTATTATCTCTCAATGTGCACTTCTGTGAACTCCACCCCCACCCCATTCCGTCGACATTTCCCAGCAGGGGCGTAAAGAAATGGCACATTTGCGCATGGAAACACAAATCGCCCATTAAACACAGCCACAACAAGACCTGCCTCCGTAAGGCAGTCGGTCGGGTTCACGGCGTGTGGGTAGGTCTCTGGTGTGTGATGTGTCACGATGCTTTTGACTATTAAAAAAATGCACTCTCTGTAACCGAGCAATCTTAAGGCACACCTTTGCGGGGTGAGAGCGGCGTTCCGGTGTTGTGGCTCCTTCGCACTTTTTGTGTGGGCCTCCAAACTAAGATCACAGTTCCAGGCCGGCGGCTTTGACGCCGACGCAAGACCGCGAGGAGCGACGCGCTCAACCGTACGGCGAATCTTTATTTTGGCAACAAAAGCCGCTGGTGGAGTGCCGCGGCGGTGGCGGCGGCAGCGACTAAAAACACTAAAACACACGGAGAGAACTGCGCGAGACACGGGGGAAGAAGGTTCGCCTGTCTGAAATTAGCGCAACCTAATGGTGCGTGAAAAAAAAAATGGTGCAATGTTACCGGTGGAGTGTTGTGGAAAAGAAAAACCCAACAACCCCTTTCCTACTGCTGCTCACACACCCCCCCCCCCACCTCCTAACCACCCCCCCGACACCCCCCACCAAATATTCGCTGAGAGGGCGCCGCGATATCTCGCGGCGCTACAACGACGGTGAAGGATTTCTTTGGTGAATTTGGCCGCGTCGTGGCAAAGGAGAGCTGTTTGGGGGAGGGCTGTCGGCAGCGGCCGTCGAATCAAAAGCTCGGCCGGTTTAAAAACCCGGCACCTCGGGGCTGCACGGCAGAACACGGCAGTGCAAAGTGGATCTCGTCCTTCAGAAAGGATGCGCAGCGTCCGCTCTGCGACACTTTGCTGGGCGTCAAGTCACGGCGCTCTGCTTCTTCTTCAGAGAGACGCACAGCGTTTCAAATTTCAGGGACAGTGCCATCACACAATCGCAGAGTACCCCGTCGCCTTAAAGAGGATGCTTTTGCACGTAACTGCTGCGAGACGGTGGTGCAGCGTGAATTTGTGGAGCGTCTAAATACGAGAGGACGTGGAAACAGTGCCGTGTGTTTTGCATTGCTTTGATTAGTACGACGACCGTACTGTATGTCTCGTGTGCTGGGTTTCAGGGTAGCGCCGTATCGCTCTCCGATGTGTTTTCAGGTTTTGCCAAATGTCCGTTTTAAAATATAACCTTTTTTTATGTGAATGTACAACCCGACTTAAAATAATAATATATACGTTACTTCCAGTATGTAAAATATTACATTAAAATCCATTCAAAAATATTCTCCTTTTCTCCCTTGCTGATGGCGGATGGTCAAGACTAACGCCAGAGTGGCAACTACAGAACATTCTGTCCAAGAATACGTTCACCGAGAAGATGGAGCGATGGAATTGGCTCGTGTGCAGCTGCTAGGTTGATTACTAACATCGCAGGATCATGAGAGATGGGTGATGGGAATTTGGGAGGCCTTCATCTAGCTGCGGATTGATCATGGCTAATAATGACTATGAATGTTTAACACGTAGGCTTTCACGACCAATGTTACTCTTAATAGGTTTTTGGGTTCGATCGCGTAAATATAAATGTGCCATTGAAACCGCTGCCAGCACCGGACACAGCTAATTAGTAAGTTTTGTCGCGTGAACAAAAAAAAGGTCAACTCTGGCTGTCACCTGATGATGCTCGTTGTCATTACTGGCGAAACGTCGCACTCCAATTGTAAATGTTGTGGATTCATTCTCCAACACACCGGTGTGCTGTACTAGTAATGAATCGGCATGTTTTGTTTATGTGACAAAGTACAAACGCGTGAGTTTAACTCACGCAGTGCATTGTGGCCTTTCACAGCCACATACGCCATGCAGAGGCCAGAATGCTCGCCCCTCCCGGGGGTGCGTGCCCCATGCTCAAGACAGCCCGTCACAAAGCAAGCCCTTTTCCTTGGCAGCGGAATAACTTATGCTAATCTCTTCTTCACACAAGCTTACATAGATCCATTCTCTGCGCAGTCAGTCCAATGTATTGTAATTCACTTAATTACATTACTCTGCCAAATTCCTATCAACTGCATTGACTTGTGCAACGGTTTAGAACGAGTCTGTTTTTTTAAAAAATATTCAAAACAATTCCCGGTGTGTTTTGTTCTAAGCTGATTAGCGCACTGCACTTGCAAAGCAAAGGACACCAGTTCGATTCCATCTCCCTGCGCGTCAGATTAAATTATGGGGCGAGTTCCCTTATTCAATGTAAGGTTTTGAAGTGATGTAAAAAATGTGTCATTTGTGCTTTTCTATATGTATATGGGCACATTAATATATATATACGCACACACATGTAAAATGGATGTTGGCATGGGATATTTCTGTCGTGTATCGTTAGCGCACTGGACTTGCAATCCAGAAGCCATTGGTTCATCCTCCCGGCGTGGCAGTTAAAACAAAAGGAACGGTTTTTTGTTTTCATAAATCCCTTTGCCTCTGTCCATCCGGCAGTAAAAAGAAATACACCGCCTAGTTTATCAGCAGGTCGTGTGTGGTGGGGGTAAAGTGTGGGTACGTCCCATCTCTTCGAGGATGCCCTGCCAGGGTTGGCCAAATACCCTCGAGGGGGCTTCTCTAACAGCTCCCTCAATTGGAGGCACTTCTTCCGGCGGTGGTGTGAGCCAAGAAATTGCAGGGCTGCACCTTTACCCGTTTCAACTTTTGCCGTTTTGTTTGTTAACATAGAAAGCGCAAGCAGCCACCAGCGAAGAAACACTCTTCTCGTTGTCGAAAGAGTTTTTTTGTTTTTGGAGGAAGCGAAGTTGCCCGTGTTTGGCGAGCGGCACGCTGCGTCTGCTCTGGAGCCTGCTGTGCTCTTTAAAAGCAAATTTGGCACAAAACAACAAATTAATGCGCTGCCAACCACACGGAAAAAAAAAACAAAACCCAGCCTTGCACTATTTACAATTCTCTCTTCATCGTCATCAGCGAAGTAACGGGCACGTTAATGCTGATCACCATCAGCATTATGCTAGTCATCAAACAAAAACAAATAAAAACACAGTGGTGATCAATTTATTTTACTGTAGTTAAAAGACGGAGAAGATGCATAATACAAGTTTTTGGGTTAGATCACGTAAGTCACAAATGCGACTTTAAACTCGCCACCACCCAACAGCCAATTAGTAAGGTTTGTCATGTAAAAAAGAAACATGACAATTTGTTACTAGTTCAGCACACCGTTGTGTTTTAGCGTAATATTCACAACATTTACAATTCGAGTACAACACTTTGCCAGTAAATACAACTACGTGCACCAGGTGGACAGCCAGAGTTGTGGAGAAATCCTCCTGCTTCGGTCTTAAATATTCGAATTTGTACTCGAATTGCAAATGTTGTGGGTTTTACTCTCCAACACATTGGTGTGTTGAACTAGTAACGAATTGGCACGTTTTGTTTACGTGACAAACCTTACCAAATGGCTGCGATCGAGTGGTGGCGGTTTTAACGACACATTTATATATTTAAGCGCTCTAACCCAAAAACCTCTATAATGGATATTGGTCGCAAAAGCGAACGCGTTAAACTGATACAGAAGATGTTAAAAAAAAAAACTGATTGGCCAAGCAAGTTGAATCCCTTCAATTGCATGCTAACGCCAGTGCTGACAGAAGAGCCTCCAACAGAGGGGAGCTCTAGACAGCCTCTCTAGAGGACATGTGGTCTATTCCTCTACACTGGCCAAACATATTGGAAGGGGTGGGAATAATGTATATGTTACTGCACCAAACGCGATCCAGTGTGTGACATAATCATTTATAAACTGAACGAAACATTTATTTTTATTTTACACAGGTAAGACCCACTGAAGCGACCTTGGCCAAAAATGATAGCCCAATGAAGTGGCTTAACATGTGAAAAAGTATAGCAGCCAAATACATGGAGGGAAAATCCGGAGGATCCGGAGAAAATCCACACGACCACGTGGAAAAAAAGCAAACTCCAAATATGCAGGCGTCAGGGATCTAACCCTTGAGCTCCTGTACACCGGGCGAGGGAGATAACATCTCGTCACCACCTCAGAAGTAATAATAGGAACCAGCCGTGTTAAACAGAGTCGGTGGTGGTGGTGGTGGGGAGGGGGTGGAGTTCAAAAATACCTGTCCATTGTTTCAAATGACGCCCCGGGCGATCAAAACGGGCGCCTCTCATCACTTGCAAGTCGGGTGAACTAACTGTGACACCGCCGCAGCACCAGCAGAAAGACAGAGAGAGAAAGAGGAAAAGAAGAGAAAAACAATATACGGTGACTACCTTATTACTCTGGAAAACGCATAGGTGACTAACTATATATAATACTGGCAAGAAGCTTTGAATAAAATGTTTTGTGATTACTAAACCAGAGGTGGAGATGAAATGATTCTGCTGACATCTCACGTTCGGTTCATGAATATACCGTGACACTGTTGATCTTGGCCCACGAGGAAGCTCCGACAAGGAATTAAAAGAAAGTGCCACAAAGAAATTCACACCGCACGGCAAAATCGCGCTTGGCAGTCAGACAGAACAGGAACAGAATGGCCATCACTTCATTGCCATATTTATTCCCCTCAACTCTTTTGTGCCTACAATTCTTGCCGCTCGCAAAAAATATGCGCAAAAAAAATACTTTAAAATGTTACTCGACAGGTGCTTTTTTTCTGCACACATTCGCAAATCTGCGACCAAAGGTGGGATTGGGCACACGGAGGAGGTTTTTCCGGAAAAGAAAAAAAAACGCATGGATTAAAATGCAAGCAATTGTGCCGCACACGATTGGAGCATCAACGCTTTATCACAAAGCCGTAGATGTTACGGAGATCTGCCGATGTCATACAGCGGACAGGTTAACACGGAGCAATGTTTATAGCCATCAGCCACACACATGGCCTTAGCCAAGCGGTTATCCCTTGTAAGCATCCAAAAGCTCCCATTGACACAACAGCATGCTGAGTCATCAGGTCACATACTATGAAAGCATCTATTGGAAAACCAACAGCGCCCCATATGCAAACCCCCTAGCCTCCTAGCAACTGAAGTGGCTTGCATATAAATTGCATCCTTGTCCGGCGTTACATTCGTTGGGATTATGGTGGTGGGGGGACCAACATCACGGATCCTACGATCTGCCCCTACGATCTGCCCCCACGTTATCCGCACACTTTTCATACTCATCCGATGCAAAATTTGTAACGCGGGAATGAAAAAAAAACCCCACACGGTTGATCGTGGTTAATAGGAAGAATCGGGGAGTTGATAGCAGGAGACCCAAGAGGTTAGGGGAGTCTAGAGGTTAGGAGACCGTCGAGGACGCAAGAGGTCCCATGGACAATAAGTAATAGGGTCGTGGATACCAGAGTTTATACCACGTGTGAAAAAAATAGGATATTGGAGGGTGTGTATCGCCACTGCAGGCTCTACGTGAAAGCAAAGGGGAGCGTGCGTGCGCTTGTGTGTCGATGTTATCATTGTCGCACAATAATATCCAACGCTTTGTGTGTTGCCCTGATCATGCACTATTTCCGTTCTGGTTAAGTTTGCTGTTCGGAGCCCGAGGCGTTTCTCATGAATCCATAATCTCCCGAATCCCAGGGAGTACACACAGCGTCATGAACATATGGACAAGATAACCGACGACTTAAGCACAGGAAAGAAAGCCAGCAAAGTTAGCGCAGCTTCTTCCAGTGGCCCCAGACTGGAAACATCAATCATTTGGAATTTGAACCCCATATATTTTTCAAAGCAACAAAATCACTAAAAATGAATGTTATCCAATGTAGAAACTTTTCAAACACGTGTTAGGTTTGCGCAAGCTGCTACGCAGCACCGGATATAATAAATTATAATTAAATTAAGGGCATACTTTGTCCAGTGGTTGCAAGAACAGAATTCTTTCCAAGAACCGCTGACCTTTCTTGTGAGCAGGCATTTATTTCACCCAGGTCTCCCTTGAAAGAGAGGCTTCTGGTCTCCATGGACCCTCAATTCAAAATATCCATTTGCAGTCCTTTTTCAACCCACTACTACATGATGGCCTCCCCATACCACATCAGCCATGGAGGTTGTTTGACCGTACTTCACCACACTCTGTGGATTGGTGAATGGCGCAGGCCCAGGAGCAGTTCAGATAGAATTTGACAATGATGTTAGCCATGCCCGGACATCAGACTCCGGCCACCAAGTTCATATCATAAGAGCTTTATCGCTTGTCGGATACCTCTAATCTAAATAAGATCCTGATAAAAATAAACATTCATAACTGCAGTCGCCACTGCACCACCACTCAAACGGGCTCTTACTTGGCATTAAAAGGAGATTAAATTGAATTGGCAAACATTCGAGGTTTGTGTTTATACGCCCTTGCCTCTCAATTGCATCACCTTGCACTGCACCATCATTAAAACAAATTCAATACAGGATGTAGCAAAGTTAAGGGTCCACAAGGCTATCATACCCTCGAAAACATCTTTAAAAAATATATAAACCACTAATCAAATAAAAACGTAACAATATACATGTGCAGATCGTTACTCTCCCATACGTTAACAACTCCCCCACCCCACCTTCCTCACACCCCGTGGGTTATTAAAATAAAACAACAGGCAACCCTCTGACATTCCACCTATAGGCTTTGTAATTAAGGGCGCTTATGACCTGTAACTGTGGGTAGTGTGCTTATTGATGAAGCTGCACCACACGTAGTAAAATGTGACTAAAAAAACCCCTGGATCCTTTAAATTGAGACGTACAGATGCTATTCAAAGGATGAGCAATAGTGTGGGACTACAGTAAAATTCGATGGAAAGAGGAGGTAGCAGATCACTATTTACAAAATCCACCATGAGGCAGTGTGAAGAAATAATATAATTCCCATTTGCCAGGGCACCAATTTAAATGTGATTTTTTTTCCTACGGTACATGTCCTTTGGTATATAGCCACAACCAGGCCTAAATCTAAGTTCCTTTAAGGTTTCTACAAAAAACACAAAAAAACCCATTAGCTATCCGGTAGGGTGTAGCTCATTTCAATGTTTCCAAAACAACGAGAGAACATTGAAAATAAACATTCTTTGGTCGCATTTCTCCATCACCTATTTTCTGATCCAGACCTGGCCTGAGGCTGACAAGGTAACAGTCTCAAGAAAAAAGAGAGAGAGAGAGACATCTCTCTAAATTGGTGGCTAACGGGAAAAAGAAAAATCACCCTGTCCATTTCCCGGAAGATCGCAATACCAGATGGGCAATCCTCGGGACTCCAATCACCTTGCATAAAACACTCACGCTACGGGGGCAGATTGATCGACTGTCCTGGCAGTAAAACAGATTTAAATCCTTTCATCATGGATATGTCTCTTAAGAACTATACACACCCGGCCGAGGCAAAGCACTGGTCCAGTCAATGAGCTCCAAATTGCTCACACGGGAAGAGGAATAAGCGCCTAACCATCAGGTTACCATACAGAGATTGCGGGGGAACAATAACGTTTTGGTGCAGGTCAACAAGCATTTCACTGGGGTCCCACCAATTGTCGTGTGGCATTTGTAACTCGACAAATTCGGATGACGTTGCGCGTAACATATCACGGGTAGCCGAAGACCCCCCACTGCGCACGTCTGATGAGATCCGATGTTAGTTGGCGCGTCGCTGTTGTATCTTCTATTCAGACGTGCATGAAAACAGTCGGGATGGAGAACGTGTACCCTGGTGGTTCTTTGTGCCTCTCTGTACCATTGTAAAAATATATATAAATAAAATAAAAAGGAAAATGAATGTGATATGTTCGCAAACCATGGTGGATGGGGGGAAGGGCTGGGAAGAAATAAATCAAATAGACTTGGCAGCCGCTGTCTGCATTTAATCAAAATTATTCCAAATTGAGTCATTTTGATTTGGCGCAAGAATTCTCAAAACGTTATTTTTTTTTTATCAAAACACCCCAGGGTAATGCTCGAGTTAAGGCCATGCATGGGGATTTCACCAGAATGCCAAGCACAAAGACAAGCTTGTGTAAGGAAAGCACCTTTAATCAGAGCCTTGCAGTGCCTCCAATTGTTGAATTTGGTAGAGAAAATTGAGCGGTATACGCGGCCCCAATGTTTTGCTTTAGGGGGCATTTAACAGCTCAAGCCCTTTCTGAATCGAGGGGGGAAAATATATTTCTTAAAGAATCCGGAACAAGCATTCTGGATGAGAGACGGCAACCCAATTACTAGACATCCCGAATAGATTTAGACACAGCGTTAAATTACACGTGTGGGTATTTGCTTTACGGATCGTACGAGCAGACGCGACATGCCGTAGGCATTAAATATATATTTAAATGCGAAATCGCACACAATTGATGGAATCATCATGGCAATCGGGAATCTGGCAATAATCCAACGCGCACAGTTATTAGGAGCGGGGACCGCTGTACCACACCACTTTTGCTTAATGGACTCTGCATGCGAGTGTGGCGTGCTGAGAACATCACGGCTCTTTTGCAGCAGCGGGTCCATGATTTATGATGTCATTTCGAGTGTGCGAGCCTCTGCAATCAAAAACCCCTCGCCCTCTTAGCACAACGACTATTTTTTGATGGAATTAGCTATTGCATTCACGCATTTATTTGCTTTCACAAACGGCGTGTTTAACTTTTCGAATAGGCGTGGGGGGGGGGGAGCAAAAAACAATAGGTACATGTGGCATTAACGAGGCTTAACAAACGCATTGAGGATGCTCGCTTTTGAGAAATGGTAGACACGGCGGACTTGCATCTCCTGCCAATGCACCTGCAAACAATGGGGCAAGTTTCTTAAATCCCCTTACCTCCTCTGTCCACTCAGAAGCATACACCAGTTCACCACGGAGTCGACCGGCATGTTCTGTGTGCGGTGCGGAAGGTACCGACTGAGCTCACAAAGGTTTTCTAGAATCAGCATAACTTTATTTTAAAAAAGTCTGGGTACTGCCACTTCTTCAAATACGTCTGGCCAGCATGGAGGAGTAGGCCAAAATACACCGTAGAAGGGGCTTTCTTGAGCCTCCCCGAGTGTAAGGCCCTTGCATCAGCAGTGGCACGGGGAGGCAATTGCAAGGCTGCGCTTGTACTTGTTTTTTACACGTACATATCCTGTCTGCTGGAGGAAATGGCATGCGTGTCTTTGTGCTACTCTGAACTGGGCTTCACGGTCCAATACAAGGCGAGCCACCGAT